CGGCCGTCCTGATTCTGAATCGGGGCAGCCGGATTCCGAATCGGGCGGATTCCAAATCCGGGTACAACATATATATACGCATATATATATAATATAAGTGTATAGATTTTTGCTTGACTAGTAGTATACACTCGTACAGGTTTAATATTTCAGCAGCAAGTGAAATAGTTACCGAACACCAAATACCAAATACTAACCTTGTCCATTGTCAAATAATTTATGTTGAACTACAGCACCACCTAAGCCAAATAACCGTAAACTTACGCCACCAACTTCAATGAGATGGGAATTAGCTTCGTCTAAAATATACAAATTATGCACCTTGTATATTTTCTCTCTAAACTTTTCTAGTACGGCGACATCCTCGCAAGCGCCCCATACTGTATATACAGGAACGCTAAGGCGATTTACTCCTTCTCTAAAGAGAGGAAATTCGGATAAAAGTGGGCGTTCAGATTTCTGTATAGTATTACGTAATTCTTGGAGAGATGTGGATGGATGGAGAAGCTTGGTTCGCAAGTCTTGTGGTATAATTGTGCTATATTGCACGAGATGACGTAATGTCCTAAATGAAACATCATATTTTAATATCAGAATGAATAATTTAAAGTTGATAGTCTCATAAAAAACAGCAGATTATATCATACCTATCGCTTATTCTCTCTAGACTACTGTTTTCTATAAAATAAAAATTCTCGAGTAAATAAACATTAATAAGGTAAATATAATTATTAAATATAAATTAAATTAAATTTACCATAAAATCCAAAGTCTCCGGAATGAATAATAGCCATAGCCCCAGTCTCTTCAGCAAGTTTATTCAATTGAGAAATATTTCCTGTTTAATTATTAATAAATTTCATTAATACTAGCATAGAATAAACGTTAAAATAAAATGGTTATTTTTTGAAGGCCGATTTTACGATCTCAGCAGGACTTCATTTTCGTTATGGTATTTCATATAATGAGTTTTCAGTACAAAGAGATGCAGAGGCTTTCCGTATTAAGTTAGAAACCTCTCGCAGAAGTTTTTATGAGATGTGGGAATCAGTTAAAAATCAAGTTGAAAGTTATATTGAGTAAGTCATCAATAATGTTTAAAATTACAAGTAAAGATTTGGTGAAATTGATGTCAAATTGGTGTTATTTGGTGAAATGAATTTCACAAGTTTGCTTTTTTAATGCTGATTATATGATATGATATCATTTTTGATGTTTAGCGATCAGCAGAAAGTATTATTACAAAATGCATTCTCTGTTGTTGATCGAGTCCCAGCTCAAGGAAAGGAAGAACCAGTTTTTAGAAATATGTGGAATTTCAATTTGCCCGATGCTGCCTATGGTTGGGTACTATTGGATATTAAAGATGGAAGAATATCCGCTGAAACTAAAGCACAAGGTTAGTGCATTATTATTATTATTTATTGTTTGTTATTTATTTACTTTTATTTGTTTATTTATTTGCTTATTGTGCTGCATATGTTGAAACTGGCTGATGCTTTAATTTGTGATTCCAATTAATTAAATCAATAATAAATATTCACTAAATCATAAACACTTCAATTTTCATAATAAAATATTACAAATTTCAGCATCAGCCAATTTCAACATCAGCTGCCATATTTATTATCATTACTAATATGTTATTTATTACAAATAATAAAGGCTTCAACTTCGCTTATCGAAAAAACAATATGCAATCAAATAATTCAGCTATTGGTGGATCACAAACATCCGAAATTGGGGCACCTACGAGTCCATATGGTATGGGAAATAGACGTCAACAGTCTAATTGGCAGCCTTCACCTGCTCTTCCACCTCAACCATCAAATGGTGGTGGATCGATGCCGTCCCCAATTTTAACACCACAAAGATCAGCATCACCTGAAACAACACCCAATCTTTCTAGCGATTGGAAAAAACCATTACCTGATTCAGCAACAGCGAATGAATGGTCGTCATCATCAAAGGGAGCGGTTTCTTTAAGTCAAGATCATACGGAACGCGCATCAAATATTCTTGGTAGTGATACTAGTAGCAATGACGATAATGATATAATCAACTCCACCAATCCAGGACATATTAATGGTAATTCCTGGGCTGATCGAGCACAAAATGAAACGCCTAATTGGGAAAATAAACCAGAGTTGACTGATTCTCTTCAATCACAAGAAAACGGCGATGACACAAATAATGAAGATGATTTGAATAATGAAGATAACAATAATAATACTAATAATCAATCTCAGCAACAGAACCGTAATCAACACAATCGTCGTAATAACGTAGATATACATTTAGTTATATGTTGTTAAAAAAAAGATTCTATACGATTCTATACGATTCAATACTAATTTGGCTGTTTTTAATCGATCGCAGAAAAATCCATTCAAAATTTATGTCGGTAATTTGAACCCACCTGTATCTGAAGAAGACTTAAAGAATTATTTTGAGTCGTTTGAGTGCCAGGTGATTTGCGATTTGTACTATTAATGTCCTACTTGTAATTTTGAAGAAATGAGGTCTTAACACTTTTCACACATAACAGGTTGAAAGTGTTCAGTTGAAGTTTGATCCTAATACCAAAAATCAAAATAATTACGCATATGTGGTCTTACAGGACGAATCATCAATTGAAAAAGCAGTTGCATTAAATGGCAAGGTATTTAGAAGTTTTTTTTTTAATCTTATTACCTAATATATATATTAATATATATTTTTAATACTATCGCTATTGCAATTGAAGCCATTTGGAGAAAATGGTAATTTGTTAAAGATTAACCAATACTATGAAAATCGATGGCACCGAGGTCGAGGTCGAGGACGCGGACGTGGTCGTCACAACCGAGGAGGATATCGTGGTGGCCATGGAAATAATTCACAAAATAATACTCAGAACGGAAACGGAAATCAATGATTGGTTTAAAACAATTTTTTTTTTTATTTAATATATATTTTATATACTATACATAAGTTTTTTCTCTTTTTGTATATTGATTGATTATTGTTATATATATAATTTATTATACTTTATTTTTTAACCCGTTATTCATATTTTCTATTTCTTTGTATAATGTAGTGTTGATAAATATTGAATCTTATAGTTTGACAAATATTTGTTACTTTATATTATTATATTAGTGATAGTTCTATACTTACAAATTATTATGAATTATGATGGTTTTTATACGGAATACATTGATACATTATTTACTCATATCAATGGTATATACTTATCAATATATATAATTATGTATATATATATTTAGATAATATCAACCCAAGAGTTTCTTTGGGAAAGAGAATGGGACAAGCACATTACACAGAATGTATAACCTTTAAGGAGAGAGTGCATGCATTTTTTGGAGATATAAAAAAAAAAGCTATTTTAATCAAGTTCAATACCAGACAGATTATTAAATAATTTATTTAAAAAATCTTTTAACATCTGATTTTACTTTATTTATCATTATATGTATAATTTCAATTAGTTTTTTTTCATGCATATATATCTATTGTATTGTATTGGTAAGCGGAAATATAATTAGTCACATGTGCATAACATTTACTATATAGATATGTGAACCCGTTGCAAGTGCGTGTAAGCGAACTATCAATGACGCGCATGTACGTACGTACGTATGTACGTGTATTGTGAATTCACGCATATAACTCACTGGTGAATATTATTTAGGAATTATAATACCATAGTAATCGATGACAAATACTTGTTGGTTCAAAATGAATTTAAAGAAAAAGGAAATTGGTGTGTTGCTCAACATATTGACACATTCTATAATATCAACTGAACGGGAAATTCTTACAATAGGAGTTTTTCACTATTTTATTTAATGAACATAAACAAAGTGACCGGAGCTATAACCTGACCTTAAAATAGCAGTACAGAATTTCTGCTTCGTATCGAATGGTGTTTGGTGAATTTCAGTAATGCTATCTATTAATTGGAATTTCTTACAATAGTAGTTTTTTACTATTTTATTAAAAAAAGGTGACTGGAGCTATAACTTGACCTTAAAATAGCAGTACAGAAATTGCTGCTTTGTATCAAATGGTGTTTGGTGAATTTCAGTCATGCTATCTATTAATTGGAATTGTTCACCAAATTGTGCACTTAACGATTCAACATCATACCGAACAACTTCAAGACCACTGCACTTCTCTGGTCCTTGCGGACCAAAAATAGATATAATAACATGGCCACCTAATTTCATGGCAAGGGTTACTTGTCTCACGTAGGCTGCACGTTGTTCAGGGGTATTCAGAAAATGAAATAATCCCCGGTCATGCCAAACTTCATAATAATGTTCCGGCAGTTTCACTTGAGTTATGTCATCTATAAACCATTTTACATTTTCTGCTGCTTTACCAAGCTGTTCCTTAGTTCCATTAATCGCAGATTTTGAGATATCAAGAACGCTAATATTCTGATATCCCCGTGCAAGCAAGTCATCAACCAAAGTTGATTGACCACCACCCACATCAATAATGGATAAGTTTTTTTGACCTTGAGTTGCTTGTTCAATGAATCTCAGCGATGTTTCAAGATGTGGGCGATACCAGCTTACAGCATTCGGTGCCTTCGTCTTGTACACTGTTTCCCAATGATTCTCACCACCATTTTTTGTCGATGAAATGATGATATTAGTAGTTAAACCAAGCGACATAATGATCTTTCTTACCAAGCTTCCTGAATATACAATATTTATAATTATAATATTTATAAATGTTTTAATGTTTGTGTACAAGTTATATTAAATTTGGATGTTAATTTAATGTCATTCGATTAGTGACCAAAATTGGTTATTTGATAAAACGAATTGATGACATTAAAATGACATCAAACTTTAACGTTAATGTAACCTGTACACAACCTACACAACCTGACCTACACAACCACTAAACATTTATAACTTGCATATTCAGGAAATCATTATGTCGCTTCATCGATAAACAATAATGTTGAGAATCATTGGGAAACGGTGTATAACAGTCAGGGAATTTGTCACACCGGATGATAAGGTCATACAAACTTAATAAATTGGTTCTCATAACCCGGCCGGGTCAAAATTTGCAGACCCTTGAAGGAAAATTTTGACTATATTTTACTATCCGGGTTGGTTTTTTCAGAAACCTGTAAAAAAATTTTACATGTTTTTTATCGTTATATATAAAATTTTTTGAAAATAAAATTAAAAGCCGGGTTGCCGGGTTGCCGGGTCATTTTTTACATTTTATATTATGAGAACCAAACAATTAACTTTGTATGGCCTAAATTATAATAAAAATTATGATAACGATAAAAACATACGTGTAAATTTACTACGTATAAACTTGAGATCCTTTTCAACTTACAAATTATTAACATATTTTCAAATTTTGGGATTAAACTTATCGAAAATAGTAGAATAAAGTTACTCAAACCGATTTTTTAAAATTTTGAAAAAATTGGATTTCGCTAGTAATATTTTATGAAAAAGAAAAGATTTACTAATTTTGAAAATACAATTAATTATATGTAAAATTTTACGTACGATAAACATGTTTACTTAGAAGAAATAAATAGGTGTCAGTAAAAAAATAAGTTTTCTACAGACAAACTTAAAACTTTATGTATTATTGACAAAAATTGACGGTGAGTGGGTATTTTAATAGGGGTACTACTTGCTGGAAATTACAAAATATTAGCGTTCTTAATCCGAAAACTGCAATCAATAGAACAAAAAAACGGCAGCAAAGTATATAAAACAGTAATTTATAAATTTTTTATTACTCAAATTTTTAATTCCTGACTATCATCATGTTTTGGTTCATTGACTGTTTATCCCAAAATGTCTGTCCGATTTTTATCTAATTCAAATAAGACAAAAATCAGGCAGAATGGCACGCTTTTAGACATTTTTTACATACGTAGGAAATTTATCAGATTCGTCCTTAAAGAATTCGATTCAGTGATTAATTTAAAGTGTATTATAACCCATTTTTCTCTTTTTTCTGATTGATGATAAAGAACGATCAACTTTATACATTTTACTGGGCTTAGTTCATAAGGTTAATCAATTTTATAGGTTTTCAAAAAATGATATCGGATATTGATATGATGCAATTTATTATTATTGTTATATATATTATACAACAGGGTGAAACTAGAGAACTAAATTGCTACCTTGTAATCACACGAGAATGAGTCATGTTTTTCAGGAACTCTATAAAAAATTTTTATCCATGGCCTCCGTAAAAATCCATACTTTACGGATATCCGATGAAATTTCCATGATTTAAGATTATAAATTCCATGAAAACGAAACATTCATGGAAAAAACATGGAATAATAATAAACACGGATCAACATTTTTTATAGGGCGAATATATCAGATATTGTTATTACCGTAAAAGTCGGACACGTGTACCTCCCATGGCGGTTCATTCCGGATAGATTAGTGGAGCAACCAAAATTCAGCAGACCGACCAAATTTAGGGCCCGGAGCTAGGCCGGCATTAAGTAATAATACAAGCCAACTATATTACAACAAAATTATCATCTGGGCAGCTTTACTTAGTAAAATTTTGGGTGATTGGGGGAGAAATTTATCAACTCCGGCCTATTCCGACCCTAAATTTTGGTCGATCTGCTGAATTTTGGTTGCTCCGAAAATCAATTCACCGACAGTACGGTTCACCAACATTCAATTCATCGACGTTTCACAGACAGTACTGGTCATTGTTGTTAGGGTCAAGCTAGAATTAGATTTAAGGTTAGTGTAATTGATTGTCGGTCGTACTGTCGGTAAAATGAACTTGAATGTCGGTGAATCGTACTGTCAGTGAATTGATTGTCGGTTAAGAGCTAGACGGTGATTTATACCCAGGTACGTACGTACATAAGTATGGTATAAACCACAACCATTTACCTGACACCCATTTCGATGACGGCCATTTCACCAACAACTATTTCCCCGATAGCCCACTTTCTCGAAAACCATTTCCCGACAACCCATCTCCCCGAAAATTTTGCCCGATTTTTGGTTAGGGTTGGCCCGCTTTATAGTTAGTGTTGGTTAGTGATTGTCGGTGAAATGAACTGTCGGGGTAATGGGTTGTCGGAGAAATAGTTTCGGGGAAGTGGGCTGTCGGTGAAATGGCCATAAGCAATATCCCTCAATACGGCGTACCCCCGTATAGAGGTACCCGACTTTTAACAAAATTACATGCAAAACTAAGATATCTTTCACGTAATAATAAAAGCGTATGAAATCTAATCAATACGTATCAACTTCCAAACCGTTACGTAAATCTACCTCCCAGCACCCTTTAAAATAATAAAGCAGTTTTTTTTTTTTTTACTACCTAAACATTAATTAGCGTTTAACAAACAGTTTTCTCTTTAACTTATATATAAAAATCTATTCATAAATTTAACAATTTGGAAAAATCTATTATCAATATATTAAGAACAACACCTTGCAAAAAACTATCACATATATATACCTTACTCTATATTTATAATAGCGGAGAAACAAAAATTCAGCAGATCGGCCCGAATTATGAGTCGGATTTAGGCCGGCAGTAAGAAATAACAACAACTAACTGTATTACACCAAAATTATCATCTGGGCTATGGTAGTAAAATTTTGAGTGACCGACCCACTATTCGGGCCGATCTGCTGAATTTTTAATCTATCCTTTATACGAAATACAAACTGCGGAAGATACAACGATATTCAAACACTGGTAAAACTAGTATTCTATATATTTCTTTTATTTTTTTAATAACGTTAGGATACGATTTTAAATAAAAGCACTATTAATAAAAAAACTTTGGTTATTGTAATTAAATAAATTACTAAATTTTTTGACACCTTTGATATCTGATAAAAAATAAATCCCGTTCCAAACTCTAGAACTTGTTTTCGTTTTATATATATTTCAAAGCTCAAATTTAACATAAAAAAGCACATTATACATAATTTTTTTTTACACATGACTTACACGACTTATACATATAAATATATAGTAAAATATAAGGATATTTCTTCATTATTTTATGTTGCCACACTATTATTATTACCCACGACATTGTTCGTACTATAACTTGTTTCAATCATTTTCGGATGAAGTTTTAAATAGAAATTTAATCCGAAAGCAATCGTTAAAGAAACGCATACAAAAATTGGTGCAACAATATCATCTGAAAAAAAAAAAAAACTATTATTTAAAGCCATTTGTCAACAAACAACAAATGATAAAAGGAAACTTACCATAAGGACCTGGTTCCTTAGCGTTGATCAAACTAAGTCTCGAATTGTATTTGTAAAGTGAATATATTAAAGTGCAAACACCTATTGCTGTATAAGCCATAGCACATCGCATTCCAAGTTCATTATCTGCAGCGGATGCATTAAATAATGCTATAGAAAAAGAACTTAACAAAACGCAGAATCCCATCCATGAAAAAAACGTTCTTTCATTAGCAAAAAACACTTTTGCCTCCACTTTTACAGATTCCAATGCTTTTTCTGGTACTTTAACATTATAAGGTAGAATTACTCTATCTGATCGAGTCCGCCTTCGAAACATTCTCCTAAAAGTCTTAAGACCAATAGGTCTATTATCACGTATATTTAAACCTTCATCAGCTCCTAATAAAGGTTGATTTTCATCAAATTGTTCATCTTCATCATCATCCTTATAAACTTCAACGGCTTTTCCTTTATCCCTCCTGTCCCTGGAATCGATATCAATTATATTTTTTCCCGAACGTTTTGCGCGTTCTTGATTAATACCATATAATGCAGATGACGTCCCTTCATCATAATCTTCATCATATTCCTCGGATGATTGACGTGCACTTGGTTTAAGAATGTCTTTGTCGATATTGGGCAACTAAAATTATTCTGATTAACATATTTTGTTTTAAAAAATCAAAATACAAAAATTGATTACCGAACTTACCCAATACGGTAAAGAAGGTGCTTGGGAAGTGAACAAAGTTGCAACACCATGAACATACTTTGAAAATTGTGGTGCTTCTTCGACCTGAGTACCGATATTAAATATATATGATGAGCATAATAATAGTAATAATAGCAATAATAGTAATAATAGCAATAATAGTAATAATAGTAATAACAACAATAATAGTAATAATAGTAATAATAGTAATAACAGATAATAATAATAGTCGTAAGAAACTTACCAAACCGCTTTTAATTAATTCTTTGACCCAATTTGGTTCTTGTTCACCGTCCAAATTAAGTTTAATCTCTAGGATAGCGTAAGGGAACTTGGTACATTCAGATTGAGATAATTTTCCAAAATCAGCATCGTCTATATCCGTTCGACGCCAAGCATCACCTTGACGACGTTTTGCACCAAAATTATCTTCGCGAATCATATAGTATTCAGTATCGAGTGAGATTCTTACTCGATCATCACGTGGGATTTGAAAAGCCATACGATTGTAATAAGTACGAAGGACTATCATAAAAAATATATATTATATATTAACAATTAGATGATAAAATTAAAGGGTAAAATATAGTATAGGTGATACCTTAATAAATAATCAATTGATTTAAAGTAGGTGTCACCTATACTATATTTTACCTATATTGGATTATAATCTTATATTACCTGGTTGCAAATTCTTTTCCTTAATGATATCCTGAATATCTTTAACCAATGCCTGGAAATTTTCTACATCATCCTCGGTCTTACCAGGGTTTTCCTTCATTTTCTTGATCGTCTTATCCATTGAATAAGTACCTTTCAAAAATCCATCAACATATTTTTCTTTTATCAAAAACCGATCTTTAATTTCTTCTTCTCCTTGTTCTCGAATTTTTCTTTCAACAAATATTTCATTTGTCGATTCTTTATTACCAAACCAACGCAATCTGATGAGTTGATCCCCAGGTTTACGATCAACCTTATCTTGATAAAGTTCAAACGCTTCATTATCAAAATATATTGATGTAACAGAAGCATCAGTTCCCGGTTTATATATTAAAACTGGAAGGTTACGCAGAATGGTGGTTTTAACTTCCATAACATTATCCGGATGAATCCAATATTTATGAGATTGACGCATAAATCTTTCTCGAGATGGTAACGCAGCACTTGAAGCTGGTACAGAAGGAAGATTTGATAAACTTGAACTTTGATCAGAACCTAGTCCTTGATGCACTATGTGATAAAGTCGGGAAAGATTTATGACAATAGGTTCAAAGGTTTCTTTATAAAAAGGGCAAGCTTTTAATCGAACATTAAACAATGGATTAAGATCATATTTCGTTCGTCTGAAATAGTGAATTAAATATTTGCATTAGACAAATTTACCAGAAAAAAAAGAAAAAAAAAATTAAGGACTATATGAATTATTACTTATTATGTTTCTTTATAATTTTCATGATTCCTGTATAATTCAACCTATTATACTTGGCTAATTCATTCAATTCTTCGGTAATATCGTTAATTTGTTGTTCTATCTCAATATAGCGTTCTGACGCATTCGATGATGAATCTTTGCTTATTGAGTTTACAGAATTTTCACATTGTTGAACTTTACTTTTGATGTCTTCATATTTAGAATTTTGAAAAGAGTAGACCTATTAAGGTTTTATTATCCATTATTTATATGCATTGAAACTTCTAGCACGTAAAAATAACTCCATGACTATATTAACACTCTCACAGTATCACACTTCACGTTATCCCTGATTTAAAAAACTAACCTTTTCAAGCTCTTTATCTAACTTTTCGACAAATTCCGTTTCGTCTTTTCCAGTATATCCACCTTCTTTATTAATTCCACGTTTAAGAAGTTTCTTCAGTCCGTCATAATCAACATAATATTCGGCCCATTCATCATATAAGGCCGCTCTTAGTTGACTGCCAAACTTCATGTTTTATTTTCAAAAGGATATTTTAAAGATACAAGGCAACTTAAAACCGAAATAAACAGGAATGCTTTCAAAAAAATGAATTTTTAATTAAGAAATATAATTTGTTGGACAATTGCTAAAAATTGTCTTGATCATCATTTGCGCCAATCTGATAGCGATAGGAAAATTATAACCTCCAATGCTGCAATGGGTAATTTTAAATTTACGACCGGCAAAAAAGTTATATAAAGTTAATAATTTTCTTTTTTCGCTCGCAAGTATGAATGTACGACATAAATTTTACTTTTAATAAACCATTTAACTGGTCAATTTCAATCTAAAAATTTTTTTTGACTAAAACTAGCTTTCGGGCACGTCCTAACATTCATAAATGAATTCTCGTATAGTTCATATACTGAATTTGTTTATAGCAATGGCTTAGAGGTAAATCAACGGATAACCCCGATCACGGTACTTAATTGACTAATTAGATTACAAAAAACGGAAAATTTCGTATAGATTAATGATTTGGCTATAAATTGCAGAGGTACTAGGACGCCAATCGTGTAATAAACTCGAGTCTTATTTCATATAAGAGTTCACATGAACCTTATATGTGATATTCTGAAGCCGCTGAGTTGGAACGAAAAAAAAATCTTGAATTACATTATACCGTTATACTTCATAACAAATTAAGCTATCGCTATTGTATATTTAAACATAAAATTATTCACTAGAAGATATTGGATTAATAATTCAAGAGAACTAAAATAAAATAATAAAAGGTTATTTCATATAAGCTTTGGGATTTTTTTTTAACGAAAAAAAAAAATCGATAATATCTAAACTTATATAACTTACACCTAATGCTGTTCAAACTAAAGATGCGAAATACATATTCAGATTATCACGCAAGATGTTCAGTGCATAATCTTACAAAATGAAACTTGCGTTAATTACACGGTTGACGCCCTAGTCCAATAATGCAATTTCTTTGGACAATTTGGGCAAAGGTTTTGGCCATATGATGTCATATGGCCAACGCCTTATCCAAAACTAGGGGTCGTCTAAAGCGGGGGCAATTTCACGTGATCACAGCCAATCAAATTATAGAATTTTGATGATCGTCGGCGAAGCAAAGCAAGAAACAAAAACGAAAAACCCAAAAAATAGAAAAAACGGCAGTCTAAATCTACCTCAGGTAGGTTAAGTGAAAATGTCGGGAAGGCAATTTTGCTTATATATAACAACCTAAAACCTAACCTAACATTAATATAAGATGACCCTAACCTAAAGTTAATTGAAATATACGGTCACGTGAATTTGCCCCCGCTTTAGACGTCCCCCAAAACTAGATATCGCTATTGTAACGGTAAGATATCTTACTGGATTAAAAAAATGTTTGTTACTCAATATAGGATGAATGAAGTAAGTGATGGGATTCAACCCCAGCTATGTGATTCAAGATGGCGCTACTAACAATTGGATGCCCCGATACATTATAGCCATTTAATTACGTACGTACGTACGTACCCACCCAAAAATATTGAATTGCAGATTTTTTACATATTTATATGCAACTTGAATATCTTTACGTATATAAATTTCAAATTTTATTAATAAATTTATTAGCGTTAGTTATAACGTGGTTGATTGGTCAGTGTGATTGGCTGTTATGTAAAAATCACGTTGATCGGTTGACTTATTAGCAGGGACCCGGAAATATTTCGAAATCATTGGACCAAATTTGATAAAAATTTTTTTATTTGGATTCTACAGATTTGTAAAGTTCAAATAAAAAAAAAAGTTTGTTCCAACGGTTGTTAAGATCGAAATTTTGATTTCGAAATATTTCGGGTCCCTGCTTATTAGTTCGTTACATAGAAGAAGTTCGTTTAATTGGCTAATGCAAATCAATTGCCCGGCAAAAACCGTTTATAGCTTTAGAATAGTGTTAATATTCACTGTGCAAAAGAATCTAAAAACGATCTTATTTTTTTCAGACTTGGCTTAAAAGACAAAAATGTCTTTTACTAATAGCATTACGTGATTACAATTTGCAAGAGACAATTATTTATCTGAAAAAAAGTAATTGAATATGGAACTTCACAGCAAAATTATGGGCAGACATTCATATGATTGGCTAATTTTTGTAGATCTACCCGTGATTCTCCGTGATAATTAACCAATCAAGATTTATAATTTCAACTGATTAATTTATACGGGTATTAAACTAAAATTTAAAGATAGGGTGTCAGTAGATCATTTTTAATAGTAATCATGTGGTATTCATATGAAATCATGTGATTGTTCAATCAGAATCGTAAAAACAACAAATTTGACCAATCAGAATTAGTAATTTTTGTGCAATCTAAGTAAATTTGAGGCA